GGGACTGGAGAACCATTTAGGAAATAATTGTACCCCTCCTCCTTGGGATGGTATACACTTCCCTACTTGACTGATCGGGGGCTTGGCCGTGTGACTTTTTTGGGGAAGTTAGTGGATGTGATGGGAGCAGAGGCCTTAAATGTGCCTGTGTGTTTGGCGCGGCCTCTAGTGTTTTTGCAACCCACCCTGAGCAGAGGACGTCCCAAGTAGCTGCTGCTCCTTTGGGGCTGAGCCCTGAAGCCGGAGCGCAACCCAGGCCAACCCCGCTGAAATCAGTTGAACCTCAGCCAACCCACAGACGCATGACAAAGGAAAATAAACATTTGTCCTTTTGAGATGGTTTGTTACACACACACACACACACACACACACACACACACACACACACACAAATGACTAATATAGATGAACGCCTTATCACCACTACTCCTGGAAGCTTCCACTTGGAAATTCTGCTCTATGATCACAGTACCCCTCCCTCCTACATGTTCCGCTACTCTATCGCCACTGCACCTGCTTTTCCGCCTCGCTGACACCTCTGGTCACTGCCCTTTCTCCAGCTTCTTTCCAGTTTCATGTGGTCCCCAATCTGGACCATCATGTCTTAGCCAATGCCTGGACCCGCCAGATGACTGGTTTTATTCCCCTCTGCTGCCCTGCTGCCCGAGCACTGCCCAACCGTGTGGACTGTACCACCTACACAGGGGATCCAGCTACAGCGGGGTCCTTAGTCTGACTGGACAAGCTTTACTTTGCCACGAGCTGGTGCCTTTCCTTAGTCCTCCTGCGGCTGTCCCAAACCTTCGGTAACTGCCCAGTCGCAGACGCACGTGCACTCTGCTGTCGGCAGGATTTCACTTCCCACTTCTCAGCGGAAAACAGAGCTGTCCGATGGGGCCTTGCCAGCAGAGGTAGGATGGCACTGTGCTTAAGGATGAGGGGTCTAGGGGCACTTGGGGGGCTCAGTAGGTTAAGCGTCCAACTCTTGATTTCAGCTCAGGTCATGATCTCACGGTTTGAGAGATCGAGCCCGGCATCAGGCTGTATGCTGACAGTGCAGAGCCTGCTTGGGATTATCTCTCTCTCTGTCTCTGTCTCTCTCTCTGTCCCTCCCCCACTCATGCTCAATCTCTCTCTCTCTCTCTCTTTCTCTCTCTAAAATAAATAAACTTAAAAAAAAAAAAAAGAAAAGAAAAAGGGGCCTAGGGGCACCTGCGTGGCTCAGTCAGTTAAGCATCCGACTTCGGGTCAGGTCATGATCTCTTAGTTCAAGGGTTCAAGCCCCACAACGGGCTCTGTGCTGACAGCTCAGAGCCTGGAGCCTGCTTCAGATCCTGTGTCTCCCTCCCTCTGCCCCTCTCCTACTCACGCTCTGTCTCTTTCTCTCTCTCAAAAATAAATAAACATTAAAAAAATTAAAATAAAAAAAAGAACAAGGGGTCTAGAATCACACAGACCTAGGAACCTTCCTGTTTTACCCACAGGTGAACAAAGGCATAGCTCAACCATTACCTCCCCTGTCCCTGACTCCCTGGGATTAATTGTCCTTTTATCTATGTTCTCAGAGCACTTAGCCATACCTAGTTCACAGATTTTTCTTGGCTTCCCATTGCTCTTAGAATAACATCTAAACTCTTGGGGCACCTGGGTGACTCAGTCAGTTGAGCATCCAACTCTTGATTCCAGGATGGTGGGATTAAGTACCAGGGCAAGCTCCACACTGAGTGTGGAGCCTGCTTAAGATTCTCTCTCTCTCCCTCTGCTCCTTTCCCCCACTTGGGTGTACTGTCTAAAATAAAATCAAGTTAAAGGGGTGCCTGGGTGGCTCAGTCAGTTGAGCGACCCACTTCAGCTCAGGTCATGATCTCACAGCTCGTGAGCTCGAGCCCTGCGTCAGGCTCTGTGCTGACGGCTCAGAGCCTGGAGCCTGCTTCAGATTCTGTGTCTCCCTCTCTCTCTGCCCCTAACCCACTTGCATCCTGTCTCTCCCTCTCTCACAAATAAATACACATTAAAAAAAATTTTTAATA